AAGAAGAAGAAGAAGAAGAAGAAGAAGAAGAAGAAGAAGAAGAAGAAGAAGAAGAAGAAGAAGAAGAAAAAGAAGAAGAAGAAGAAGAAGAAGAATGAGAAGGAGGAGGAGAAGGAGGAGGAAGAGGAAAAGGAGAAGGAGAAGGAGAAGAAGAAGGAGAAGAAGAAGCAGAATGTATAGCCGATGTAGTATTTATAGAGCACCTATTCACGCTCTACAGCATGCTCTGTGTGCTTTACTACTATTATTACCCCAGCAGTCCATAAGTCACTCATAAAAATTCACGGCTTCCCCATTACGTGTTGCCGTAGGAAAAACGGTCAGAAAAAAGGCCACTTATACGCCATGTTACTCTGCTTGCCTTTTACATCAGGCATCCAAAGTGTCTGGTCCAAGAGTCCCGCAAACTGCTATTTCTGACCTGTCCGTGTTTTAGACTAGGCAGTGGGTTGGTCGTCTAGTGACCAGACTACGGGACTCGTAATCGTGAGATTTTTTGCTACTGGGGTTCGAGCTTCAGCTCGGCCCGATGGTGTGTCCTTGGGAAAGACTTTTCACACGAACTTTTCTCACCTCCCCAAAGTGTGAATGGGTACCTGGCCATAGGCAGAGAAATATCTTGTCGGTGTGGTAGTGTTTTAGCGCCTGTACGGTGGCAGCTAGCACTGTATGCTTCCAAGGAAATTAAGATTGTTTCAGAATGCTATCAAGTCTGCCGGGGTAATAATATAGATTGTAAAGCTAGAGAGCTTGCTGATGACGTGGCAATGTGCGCTATCTATACAAATGTGTGTTATCGCGGTGAAATTACGCGCTCGTCAAAGTAATAAAATGGAAGAAATTGGCATTTTACCACCCGTTGGACAATTTTTACGGATTCTAAAATCTTTTATTACTATCTTTTTCTTGACTGAATACATTTTGTTTCAATTTATAAACACATTTCTGTATGGATTTTACTGAAAGAAAGGTTGATTAAAGGGGCCAAACAAATTGTAAAATTGCATTTTCCAGGGAGACTCACGTTTTGGAAGTCACCAAACTTTGGTAGCCATTTTCTTGCTAATTCTACACCTGAAAGCAGATAATCCCTACCTCATTAATCGAAAATAACTTTGACTTAAATTTCAAATAGACGAATACTTCTGTCATCAAAAGCAAGGCAGATAAACAATCTTTAATTAAGAATATACCAATAATTCCAAATGCCCAAGAACTGACGAGCGCCTGATTCCACTATGTCGTGACACAAATTAAATTGTCGTCATTATCAGTTCAGTGTACCAGAGTCCCTGACCCCTGCAACGACAACTTCCGGGTGTCCATCCGTCGCCCGACGCGTTTGCAGACAGCCGTGGTTGCCATTGGTCGCTCCCCCAAGCTTCTGTTGACACATCGCCATAGTAACTGTCCGTCAGCGTAGGCTCATTTCCGGCAGATGTAGAGAGTTCCGGAAGTCAGTACTTAGGCCCCACACATAGACTTACTACTAGTATTTATAGCACAGGTCTATGGCCTTACGAGGACGCTATTTCTTGGAATTAAAAACTCTTCACAATGCACTAATTATTTTCTTGATAAAAGTCTCTTAATGTTGATTTTAAAAAAAATCAAATCAAATCAAATCTCACAAGCATTCGTCTTCGCAAAACCACCTGTGACGTCACCACATCCCCATCGCAGACGTGCCAACAACACGCACAGAGCACACGTCTCGCTTCACAACACAGTACGCAACTCGCTCCGTCTTCAACCTCACACAACAGCACATATCCCCCACCAATGGCCCCATATCATATCTCCATAGCAACCACACGTCACATTTCGGTCGTCACTTCCTCCATGTGTATTGTGGGAAGCGTCTCGAGGCGAGTAATGGCGGGCAGGGCGCTCATACAAGGCACGGTGTGCATGCGCTGAAGGCGTCGCTTCTCCCGCTCTACCATGGTCACCGACACCTTGCGGCTGTAGTTCTTGTAGATGATGCTGTCTTGGGGCCGCTTCACGATCTTGATGTTCTCCAGGTTCTGGTGGGGATGGAGGAAAAAACCCATATAATGACGAATCTGAGATAGATAGATGATTTGGAAGTTCTCCAAGTTTTGATGAAAATAAAGCAATAAATGTATTATATATATTGACGAATTTTAGATAGATAGACGGTCTTGATGTGCGCCAGGTTCTGGTGGAGATACCCCCCCCCCTAAAAAAAAACCCAAAAAACCCCAACCAAATAAACAAACGAACAAACACCTCCCCCCCCCCAAAAAAAAAAATTACAACAAAAACAAAACAAAACTACAACAACAACAACAACAAACAAACAACTATATAATGAGGAATCTGAGATAGATAAGCAAACTTGGTGTTCTCAAGATTCCGGTAGACATAAGGAATACAAGTATAATGAGGGATCTGTGATAGACAGACGGTCTGGATGTTCTCCAGATTCTGAAGGAGAGAAAGGGGACATATAATATAAAGAAAAATCGGAGGTAGATAATATGTGATCTTGATGTTCTCCAGGTTCTGGTGGGGATAGAGAAAAAAACCACATAAAATGACGAATCTGAGATAGATAGACTATAGACGATTTGGATCTTCTCCAGGTTTTGATGAAAATAAAGAAATAAATGTATTATAATGACGAATTTTAGGTAGATAGACGATATTGATGTGCGCCAGGTTCTGAAGCCCCCCCCAAAACAAAAAAAACAAACAAACACAAAACAACAACACAAAAAACAAACAAACAACAACAAACAAACAAAACAAAACAAAACAAAAACAACACAAAAACAACAACAACAACAACAACAAACAAACAAACAAACAATAAAACAACAAACAAAGAACTATATAATGAGGAATCTGAGATAGATAGTAAACTTGGTGTTTCCTAGATTCTGGTAGACATAAGGAATACAAGTATAATGAGGGATCTGTGATAGACAGATCTGGATGTTCTCCAGATTCTGACGGGGATAAAGAAAAAATATAATTTATAATAAGGAGGTTGAGATATAATCTGACACAGCGAGACGATCATGGTGTCAGATTCTGGTCATGATAGATACGATGATACTATATTGTTATATTGGCCGAGAGGGAAATTTTTCTTGACATCTCAGTACCTCATAATTACAAACTTCTATCTGACATTTATTAAAACCGTAAATATATTCGGAATCGTTATCAATATATTCAAAGAATCGCTTTCGAAAAAGCTTGACATATTGTGAAACTCAAAAATTATGACGTCAAATTCCTCAAAACTACGTATTGAACAGATAAAACTTTGTAATCCTAGGGTAGCAACTTTTCACTACCCGGGATGTGATCCCCACCGCCCACCAACATTTACTAAATTGTTTGAACTGGGACGTAAAACAATACAGTCGACTACAGATGAGTAAATGTCGTGGGAGTGAAAAACAAAATCAACTCTTGATCCGAAGTCCAACTTAACCGTTGGGACCGGTGGAGAACAAGAGATGCTGGGACCCGAAAAAAAGATCCACTTAACCGAAGATCAACTCAAGCGAGTTCAACACACGTGGAGTCGACTGTATAATTGAAATTGATAACGTAGAGAAGTTGCTACTCTAAAATTACGAAGTTCTACCTACTTAGTACCTAGCTTTGAGAAACGTGACGTAAAAAATGATGAGTTTCACAATGTGTCCAGCTTTTTTCGAAAGCAACTCTGTAAAATATGTGAGGCAGCGTGGTGGAATCAGGCTCTCGTCCAAATAATCAAAGTGAAGAAACTTGCGTTTTCCCACGAATTTTCATCAAATTTTCATTTTTTGACTCAACACTGTTCATGCCCAATAAAGAACTCATTTCTGTGTGGATTTTTCCTGAAAACGTAGATTAAAGGCACAGAAAAGTAAATTCTCAGTTACCACGGGCTCTAAAGCTAAGGAAATAACTTATCTTTGGCAGCCATTTTCTCACTAATTTTACCTCTGAAAACAGGTGACCCCCACCTTCTTCATTGGCAAATATCTCAACTTATATTCAAGATAAATGGATATTTTTTTCATCCAAATAAAGATAACTGAACAAGCTTTAAGAAGATACAAATAACTCTACATGCCCAAATATTGACGAGAGCCTGATTCCACCACGCTGCCTCACATATTATCACGATAAAGACTCCGGATATTCTTACAATTTTGATCGAGTTAATTGAACATTAATTGGTTTCTAACCTTGTGGCCTTAGTAACTCAAAACGGCCAAAAAATGACAGATAGAACGTTGTAATTCATATATCTAGTGCCCTTTTGGGGGATCGGTTCTCTAACACAAACCGATCTCCCGACTTGCGGCCTTGAAAACAAACACGTTTGATTTTGAGGGTCTCCGTCTGCTTCGTTCGGTTTGTGCCAAGATGGTAGCTTTCCGCCTTCAATCTGGCTATCAACGCCTACCAAACCGAACCAAAGCAATGGTGCCAATGGGGGCACTACTGGGCATGATAATAAGGTCAAAGATCGCGTATAACAAGATAGTTCACTCCTCTCTTTGAGCCAATTAATAAAGTGTCCCCAAAATAATTCGGTGGCGCCCTCTTCGAAAAAGTGCGGACTTTGCCAACAGAGTTACCCTACTTGTTTGAAAAACAATAAAAGAGAAACTAACAAACTGCGCTATTCCTATTCTTCTTCTGGAGAAACGAAAGAGAGCTTAAAATTATTTTTTTAAAATAAAGACTGCAGCGCCATCAGAAGCAATGCGCGAACTTCCGCTGACAACACCTTTGCTGTCTGAGTGAACTATCTTAATTATTATGTACGATCTTTGACAAGGCAGAGGAGTGTGGGTACCTTGGGGCTGTGGCGGTACCGGGGCTCCATGGGCTGCATGATCCTGATGCTGTCCCATTTCCGAAGGAAGGCGAGGACGGCGAGGAACCAGAAGATGACGATGATGAGGACGATGAGGATCTCCTCCAACTGGATCGTCTGCTCGATGGGGACCCGGTCGTCTGCCAGGGGAATCATGATTGATAATTACGATGAATATGATGATGACAATGATGATAATACTGATGATAACGAAAATGATAATAGTGAAGATGATTATTATAACGATGAGGATGATGATAATAATAATAA